TGAAAAGTAAAAGAAAAAATTATTTCATTGTTATACAATCCTTCCCCTCAAGTCCAGTCCACTATGTGGCCTTTATTCTGCACTCCTATCATGACAATAATACCTCATCATATATTCCTTTTAAACAGTTCTCTCTCTCATCTGTTTCAATGCAATATACACAATTTATCCCATCTTTCTCAGTCTTCCCCCAATCCAAATGTTAGTCCCATTTTACAACAGTGGCACTATGCAGTATTTGTCCTTCTGTGTCTGAGATATTTCACTCAGCATAATGTCCTCCAGGGTCACCCATTTTGAATAATATTGTATGAGTTCCTTGTTTTTCAATGCAGTGCAGTATTCCATTGTGTCACTATACCAGAGCTTCTCTATCCATTTGTTTGCTGATAGGCACTTAGGTTGTTTCCAACTCTTTGTTACTGTGAACAAACCCGCAAAATTTTAAACTATATTTCTTCTATAAACATACATTAAAAACACCACCACACAACTCAGCCCTGCTGCTAAGCCAATTCCCACCCACAGTGACTCCCTCCTGGGTTCCTGACGCTGTAAATCATTAGAGAGAAGCCTGCCCATCTTCCTCAGAGCAGCCGAAGGACCTCGCGGTGAGCAGCGCGCCACGTAACGCCACACACATCATCGTATGACAAAGTTTAATTTATAAATCAGGCCCAGTTAGAGATTAACAACCACAGTGAGAGATTAATAAGTAGCGAGAATAACAAAAACAATAGAGCAATTTTAATAGCAGACTACCATAAAAGTCACGAGAGATAAAGCGCGGTGTTGACAGGAGTCGTGACGCAGCCCTGCTGTTTCTCGTAAGGGGCCATCCAGCTGGTTTCCCAGCCATTCTCCGCTCGGCAGAACCAAACAATGCCCGTCTTGCGCCATCCTCGTGAGTCCTGCTACGCATCGGTCACTGGTGCTGTCACTGTCACCGTGGCGATCGTCTTGTTCAGGGTCCTCCACTTTGCCAAGGACACTCAGATGGCCTCCTCCACAGGGAACTACGCTGCCGGCCCAGCGCTGGCTCTTTTCGTGGTCTGACTGCACCAGTCGTGCTGCGGGAGAGAAGTAGCCAAACTCCCTCTGTGCAGCTCAGTCTCTGGAAAATCTGCTGGAGACTCCGCTCCAACTCAATGGTAATGACTGGATGCTACCTGCTCACGCATGATGTCCTATTCCAGGGACTGGCCTCTCCTCATGTCCAAAGTCTAACTCTTCTGGCCTCCAGGGAGCGTTCTGGCTGGCATCCTTTCCAGACCGATTTGTCTGTTCTTCTGGCGGTCCACGGCCTTCTCCGTACTCTTCACCAACACCGAAGTCTCCCGCATCACTTCTTCTTCAGCCTTCCTTCTTAGTGAGCCAGTTTTTACAGCTGAGGGGCCACGACTTGGGTCAGGAACACCCTCCTCCGCACACACCTTTTTAACCGTTTAAGGAGGGCTTTCAGAGCTGCGTGAATAATTTCTCCTAGAAGGATTAGAACAAGGCTGAGATTATTGAGAAACAGTGATGTCAGTTCGAGGAATCAAATCCGCCTGGTTCCGGCCATGGTCTTTCCAGTCACTTGCTGTGCATCGGAGAGCTGGACAGTGGCTAAGGATGACAGAAAAAGAACGGAAGCCTTTAAACTGTGGTGTTGGAGGAGAGTGCCGAAGATTCCACGGATGACCAAAAGAACAGCTACATCTTGGAGAAGGTGCAACCAGAGTGCTCCTTGGAGGCAAAGATGATGACACTTCCACTCACATACCTTGGGTATATGGCCAGGAGAGGTTATTCTTGGAGAGAGACATCACGCTTGGGAAGGTGGCGGGGTGATGAAGGAGACGAAGAAGACCTTCGACCAGGTGGGTTGACACAGTGACTGCAGCAGTGAGCGCGAGAGTGTCAGGGATTGGGAGGCGGACACAGGACAGGACAGGGGTCAGATCAGTTGTTCACAGAGTCACTACGAGTCATACTCAGCAGCACCTAATAACAAGATTAAAGACGTCCCAAATGTCCAGCTTTCTCAAACTGTTCTGTCTGAATAAATGTCTTGGCGTCTACGTATAGTTCCCACAAAAGCACAATGAAATGTCAGGAAGTTCCATTCTTCACAATGTTACCCATATTTTGTTCTGGTCCACATAGGCAAAGGCCTTTGTACAGTCTGCAGAACACAACATCATCTGGCATTCTCTGCTTTTGCCCAGGATCCATCTAACATTGTTCCATGACTTCCTCTGAATTCAGCTGGAATTACTGGCACTTCCTTGTCAATGTTCTGCTACAACCATTCTCTTCAGCAAGACTTTACCTGTGTGTGCTAATAATGATGTTGTTATGTGCCATCGGGTCAAATACAACCCCCAGCAACTTTACGAACAGCAGCTCTGATCCCTGTCTTAGCCAATGCCAACCCCACAGTCGCTGACACACTCAAGCCCACTGCTGCAGTCACTGTGTCAGTCCACCTGGTTGAGGGTCTGCCATTCTTTCACGCTCCTTCCACCTTTCCAGGCATGATGTCCCTCTCCAAGGAAAAGCTTCTGCTAGCAAAATGCTCAAAGTATGTGAGATGAAGCTTTGTTATTTGTGCCTCCAAGGAGCACTCCGGCTGTATCTTCTTTGAGACATCTCTGTTTGTTTTTAATGATGTTGTTAAGTGCCGTTGAGTCATAGGCGATTCATGGTGACTCACAGCGACGTTATGAATGAAAAGACTGAACATGACAGGATTCCATAACGTCTACATTCTGTGGGGTCACTGTTCCTTGGAATGGGCACAGATATGGATCCCTTCTGGTCATCTGTCCAGGTAGCTGTCTTCCAAATGTCCAGGTATAGATGAATAAGTACTTCTAGCACTACCTCCATTGGTTGAAACACCTCAGCTGGTTTTCATTCCATCAGTTCCTGAAGCCTTGTTTGTTGTGAGAGCAGCGTGGCCTCCTTCCAACACCCTCAGTCCTTCCTCATGTGCTACCTCCTGAAGCAGCTGACCACTGACCAACTCGTTTTTAATGGTCTATTCCACCTTCTCCCCCCGGCCTTGTTCTTTGGTCTTGATACTGAGCTTCTCCGTCCGTCCTATCTTTCCACAAATGTGGCTGACTAGATTCCTCTGTATTCCATCCGGCTTGGTCCACATGAACAGTCAGTGTACTGCTGAAAAGCAGGTACTTGCAATGAGTCTGCTGGTCTTAACAAACTTCTCCCATGCAATCTCTGGAGTCGTTTCTATCACCAAGGCCATATTTTCCAACTACCATCCTTTGTTTCCAACTTTCAAATTCTAATCATCAGTAACGATCAACTCGTCTTGATTGCATGGCCAAGCATTACCCTGCTATTTTCAGAAGGAAAGGTCAGGCAGCTGAAACACTGGTAAGTGAAACCTCAGAGAAGGGGGCATCTCCCCTTAAGTGATGAAAACTCACTGCAGAAAGTCAAAGACTACAGCCTTCAACATGAATTACACTGCAACATCAAGAAACCAAAAACCTTCAACACTGGAGCAACAGGCCACATCATGATAAAAAGAGTAAAGCCCAAAGTTGTCAAGGATTTCTTCTTACTTGGATCCACCATCAATACTGATAGCAGCAACAGTCAAGAAATCAAAAGATGTGTTACACTGGGAAAAATCTGCTGTCAAGGACCTCATTAAAATTCTAAAGAGCAAGGATGTCAGTTAAAAGATTGAGGTGTCCCATCAACAAATGAGTGGATAGAGAAGCTGTG